TGAATGAGATTTTAACTGGATGTCATTGGCTCAGTTTTGACAAGTAGAGCAATCTAATGAGCACTATTACTTCTTTTGGTACCTGTAATCTTTTTGTTCGTTGGTGGCTGATAATAATATAATGAATTAGAGGGAAATATTAGTATTAAAACAGCACAGTAGAGAGTACCAACGGAAGTCAGTCAGAAGAACATGGATTTGAGTGTGTCAGCTCTCCTGCTTTTCTGTTGTATTATCATTGGAAAATCATTTAATCTGTAAATTTTAGTTTTCTAATCTTTAATTCTTGTCTCTTTTAGTTGGTTTGAGGAGTAAATGATTTTGTGCATATGACAATGATTTGTGAACTATGAAACATGTATTCCTATTAACAAATGGACAATATCAATAGTCTGTTAAGAGTATTTTCATCACATTGTGACTTGTAAGCATAAGAGTTTGAAAGTAGCAAATGCATCCATTAGCAGTAGGTCCTTTTTCATAAGAAAAATTTTTCTAATAGCCTGCCCTTTGTTCTTTTGTTTGTAACCATGGTCCAGAGTTGGTCAAGTCACAGAGAGTATAGAAACTGTTATTGAACTCCATTAATCTCACCCGGTCAGAAAAATGATGTGGGAGTATGTTGTAAGACTCTGCATCTGAAAAAGGAGAATATTTACTGCAGAGGGTAGTTTTCAAAATTAAGGGGATTAATTCTTGCAAAACCTTTAGCATAACATATGCAACAAAGTATTCGATGAATGTCCGCATCTCTTTTTATTTTAATTATTAAAATGCCCACAATCTGCAGGCTAATATAAGAAATGTTTAATTTCTTTCTGGGCAGAGTGGGAAATCGCTAAGGAATTTTAAGTCACTTTTGAGTCAGTAGTTTGTATCTTGAACATCACCTTTATTTTGTGCTGCACAGGGTACAATTACTATCTGAACACCATATCTCAAATAACTGCCATTGTTTTCTGTAGAAAATAACATGACTTTGTAAATCTAGTGTAAAAAATAGCTTCATGAAGATAATTCTATGTTAAATACTGAATGGAAGCTAACAATTTAACAAAGTCATACGCGGAATTTTTAGGAGCTGTTCATAAAGTTTTTGATAAATAATCTGCCAACTTATTTGAGCACGTTGAGCTTTTTATTGCAAAATCAATTCATATTAAATATAGAAAGATTAGAAAGAAAAATTAGCAAAGAGAAGGAAATTTAAAATCCCTCATTATCTTACCACTCAGAGACAATCATTGTTAATATTTCAGTGAATACATTTTTTTGGTTCAAGTTTTCAAAATTGCACTTATATGAATTGGGCATATGTCCTTAGCATTTAACTCTGAGAAGGTAAAAGGCATGCCATTAGAACTTTACTTCAGTATCAAAAGAAATATGATTAGAATTTTAAAATCCTAATTCAATTCAGAACTTTTTTTGTAACCCCATTTAAATTTGTAATTCAGATGAGAATATTAGAAATCTTTTGTGGACTGCTTTTCAAACCTGGGATAACAACTTTCCTGTTTTACCTTCTTTGCATCATAAGCAATAAATCACAAATTGCCACCTCTGTATGTAGGGCTTTCTAGTTAAATTATCCTGAAGGGAGAGCTATTCAAAGAGTGATTTAAAAGAGTGTATATGAATCAAATACGTTTCATAAAATTATTCACAGAACACGTATTTGAGAATTCTTGAATATTATTTTGAATATATTTTGTCTCTATCTAGTTTGTTGGTTTTATCCCTGAACTCTTCCAAATTGCTGAGCATTACTATTAACATGCCTGGTCTTATAACTTACTATTTTCTCTTTGTTTGATACTATAGACATTGGAAGAAAATGGGCTAGAGTATCCTAAGATAACAGTTGGGGAAACATATTTTAGGAATTATGGAAAGTCACAAAACTATGCTGTCTTGCAAATTAATGGTGCCATTCTCTTCCACTCAACTGTAAAACCCAGTTAAAAGTAAATCAAACATGCTTTAATCAAGCACCCAGATATAATCAATTATTATGACATTAGTATAAGAAAGAGATAGTTATATTTACAGATAGATTCTACAAAAAGAGAAGTGGAACACAACTAATCCCTTTAGCACAAATTACCATTTGTATTTTTGAAACTATTTTTTCAGTTGAATTTAATCCCCAGAAACAATGAGGTAGGATTCCTGTTTCTTCCATTTATCCTTTGCATATGGTCATAGGATCATAGACGGGATGAACGTTAACTGCCTGCCATTCCAGTTTAACTCTCATCAAAGGATAATAGAGGATGACACATTAAAACTCTTCTCACTTAACTGGCAACAGCAGTGCACTGGCTTGCTCAGCTTGTCATGTTAAAGAAAAATTGCACTGGACAAGTGAAACAGGCAAGGAGGACTTTGTTTAAGACTATTACTATAGGGGTCAAGACTTTCAAGAAGAAAGAGATTGAACTGAACTCCGCTGAAACAAAAGTTTTGAGAGTTTCTAAGTGCTGGGGTGAGCTAGTGAAAAAGCACTGGAGGATACTACCAGAGAGGTTGGTCTATGTATTAGGCTATCTGTTTGCTAATTGGTGCTTATTGAAGTTAGGTTCCTCCCCTTTTAAAGAGATTGGGAGATAGAGATACTATCTTTCTTGATGATTACATTTCAAAGGAAAGGCTTCTATGTCCTTGAGAAAGACATTTCTGGGTTGTAAACTGGCAAGAGGCTGGGATATTTCATCTCAAAGGAGCAGAAAAATAATTTATAATAGCAGGTTTTCTCAGAAAGATCAGGGACACACAGGAAGAAACCTGTATAAAGTTTAGTCAAGCCAAGGGAAAGATTTTAAGGCCACCTCAGCCATCATCACAGCCAGATATTCAGGAAGGTTGCCTTGTAGTCAAGAAATGTTTTTCCCATGCTCCTAGCTCTTGTTGGATTTCATTGATATGTATGACATGATGTGGGTGTGGATTTTCCTGAGGTGATGACTTATATCTCTTGGGTCTGTATACATATACATATATGTGTATATGTATTATATATACAAATAAATATATATGTAGATTGTGTGTGTGTGTATGTATGCATGTATGTGTGTGTTTCTATTTTTATTTTTATTTGTCCACAAGGGGTATGCCTGGACTAGGAATCTGTCTTAGGAAGAGGGCTTTCTGCCCTGGTAAAAGAGCAACTCTGTGTAAATTAAATGCTAATTCTCATCTGAAACATTCCATGTTGAAACATTTAACATCTTCTGTTTTATTATAATTATTGCAGAGTCTACTTTTTAAAGTAGACTACTTTTTAAAGTCATCCTTTAGGATGACTAATGATCTTATTCACAATATATTTTAATGCTGATTTTATTGAATACAAGACTCAACTGGAAAGAAGAAGGTGGCATAGTGTGTAGACATTTTAAATTTTATTTATCAAGTAACATAATAACAAGCCTTGGAAAATACAATTGAGAAGAAGAAGTGACAAAGCATCATGAGCACAAAGAAGGAAGAATGCTTAATTCTGATTGTGGATGAAGAGAAAGTCATTAAGGTGATGAAGAGGAGGGATGGGGTAGTGTTTGGGGTATAAATTCTTGAAAAATGACAGGATTTTAAAAGTGTGAAAAAGGAAAAAGGGCCACCCAAGTAGAACTTGCTATAGGCTAGGGAAAATGGAATGAATTTGAGTAACAGGGTATTCAGGGGATGATCTCAAACTCAATTTGGCAGTGATACCTTTCAAGGCCTGTTATAGACTGAATATGTTTGTCTTCCAAAATTCAAATGGGAAAGCCTAGTCTCTGATGTAATGGTATTTGTATGGAGAGCTTTTGGGAGGGGGAGGTTATTAGGTCATGAGGACAGAGTTCTCATGAATAGAATTAGTATCTGTATTAGTCCGTTCTTACGCTGCTATAGAGTCACTGCCAGTGACTCGATAATTTATAAAGGAAAGAGGTTTAATTGACTTACAATTCAACATGGCTAGGGAGGCCTCAGGAAACTTACAATCGTGGCAGAAGGCAGAGGAGAAGCAGGTAACTTCTGCACAGGGGGGCAGGACGGAGTGAGTACAAGCAGGGAAAATGCCAGACACTTCTAAAACCATCAGATCTTGTGAGACTCACTCAGTATCCTGAGAACAGCTTGGGGAAACTGCCCCCATGATCTGATTACCTCCACCTGGTCTTGCCTTGAAAATGAGAATTATGGGGATTACAATTCAAGATAAGATTTTGGGTGGGAACACACCCAAACCATATCATTATCTTTGTAAAAGAGGCTCCAAAGAGGCCCTTTTCTCCTTCCACCATCTGAGCCCTCAGCTAGAAAGCAGCATCTATGAACTAGAAAATAGGTTCTCACCAGACACTGAATCTGCTGACAACTTGATGTTGGACTTCTCAGCCTGTAGAACACCGAGAAGTAAATTTCTGTTGCTTAGAAGCCAGACAACCTATTGTATTCTGTTATAGCAGCTTAAATACAGTAAGACAGGGTCAGATCAGAAATAGCCTTCTCTCCTGTGCTAAGGAATTCTAATTTCATCTCTTTAAAGAACAGGAAAGAAATGTTTTAAAAATGGAAAATAACAGCAGTCCATTTTAAAAAAATGATGGCTGGACTTGTGGATTCCTGGAAAGTGAGTGGAGAGTTTAGAGAGAGTGGGGACAATGAGGGAGCTATGAGTGTATTCACTGTAAGAGGTGTGGTCTAACCTAGGGAAAAGGGCAGCACAGCTCTCAGAAGATCTAGACATGATAGTCAACAAGTACTGACTGAATGTAGGAATGCATGAAAAATTAAATTGGGTATAGGAAGTTAATAAAAGAAAGGTGAGAAAAAAACAGCTCAGGTATGTTTTGCCAGAATTTCTGAGATGACGGTGCTATAATCATTACACAAGAGTTTGTAACATGCTATGGGACCTTGGAGGAAGTAGCAACTCCCTCTGCCTGAGGGAATCAAGGAGGATACAGTATGAAGGAGGGAACATGTGGCCAAGGCAAGTGAAGGAGTGGGTGCAAAGGTGATAAAGTAGAATGAGAAGACAGGTGATAGGAGTACAGAGTTTGTTGTCAGGGGTCCTCAAAGATAGCCTGGAGCAGAGCTGTATTACTATGCAACAGAGCTTTACTTTAATTCTTAAACAAGTTGTTGTTATTTACTATTTGCTTAACTGAGTTAAGCCTATTAATTTACTAAATGTCCTTCGTAAAATTTCGTAGAGAAATTTTCCACGTAGCTGTGTTATCACATAATAATCAACACCACTACCCACTCTGCTACCTATAACTCTAGCTGACAATAATCGGCTTTTTTTTTTTTTAAGGCATCACTGTGCATAGTTTTTATTGCAGTTACATGGCTATCTCTCAATCATTTGTAAATCTTATGATGTCATCTCATTTGAAATATGAATAACACTTTGTACTACATTAGTTTCCCTAAACCATTTTCTAGAAGAAGAAAATGTCATGATTCTGAAGACAGCTTTGCAAAATTACTGTACTGATGCTATTGCCATATTTCTAGTATTATGCAACAAATGAGCACACTGAAATTCTCAGTCTCCACAGAATCTTTTGGCATTGCTCAAACATCTTACATTATGAATTTAGAAAGAAACAGGTTGGAAATTTTACTCAAAAAGCGCTCTTCTGGATTGATTTTTTTCGGGTGTGTGAATGAACAGTTATTTTTGTTCAGGTAAAACCCCTCAAAGGGCAGCACAGTAGGACATTCTCCACTAGACTGTTAAAAGTATTTCATGTTAGCCTGCCTCTAGAATAAAACTAATCAAACTGATTTACATTCCTCCATCAATTCAAAACTTGAATGTATCTGTTTTAGGATATCTCCTCTCCTTAGTCATTTGTTTTTCAAGAAAAACTAGAAAAATTGTCTAAATTTTAAATTATACCCAACATGTTATTTTGAATGGAGGTAAATGTAAAAAGGCAGAGCACATGAACCACAGGGAATCTTTATGGTCACAGGGCTTGTACCCTGGCTGGACATACCCTGGCTCCTTGGCAGGTGTCTCATGAGTACATGGACTCTGAAGGGGAAGGTCTCCTATAGTTGTGTGTATACCCTCCTAAGGAAAAATAAGAGGCTTTCATACACTAGTTTACATTTGCAAATTAATTTTAACATGACTTCTTTCAACTTCAGAGCAGCTTTACTAAGGAATATTATTAAATAATCTGTTTCTAAATTTAATGCTCAATGCAGGACTTATATCTTTGAAAACACTGAGACATTTTTGCCACTGCAATTTCTTGATACTGCTGTGTACTATCTAGCTTGTCAGTGTGACTGCTTCATAACCCTCCTCCCATTACCTACTCTCTTCTCTCTGATGTTCTGGACCGTCAAGATGATCTCAGTAATGCTTACCCCACCCAGTCTTATTCTCTACAACCCTAGTTCTTATGATTCTTTGTCATGGAGTGACTCCATTCATTCATTAGATAGCCTGATATAGAAAGCCCATACATTCTGTAAGAACTTGTTTAGATAAATTACTTTTGTTCAATGATGATAGTATTAGAAAGTCAGCAATTATAAAATGATTTAGGGGCGGGGCGCGGTGGCTCACGCCTGTAATCCCAGCACTTTGGGAGGTCGAGGCGGGTGGATTGCGAGGTCAGGAGACTGAGACCATCCTGGTCAACATGGTGAAACCCCGTCTGTATTAAAAATACAAAAATTAGCTGGGCATGGTGGCGCGTGCCTGTAATCCCAGCTACTCAGGAGGCTGAGGCAGGAGAATTGCCTGAACCCAGGAGGCGGAGGTTGCGGTGAGCCGAGATCGCGCCATTGCACTCCAGCCTGGGTAACAAGAGAGAAACTCCGTCTCAAAAAAAAAAAAAAAAAAAAGTGATTTAACCCAAAGACCTTGAAATCAAATGATTGTATTTGACTGGATGCTGAGAATATTCTGGGACATACCTCCTAAAGACTATTTTTTTTTTCTCGGATGGGGGATTTAAAATCACTCGTTTGCTATAGCTCTGACTTTTAAAGAAGAAATTTTGTTACTTCCAAGGCTTCTAGTTACTTCCAATTCTTAAAAAATTTAGTCTCACAGGAAACAAACATGGATATGTAAAGTATACACCATATATGATAAATGTTTTTCTCATGATCTTAATCTTGTGCACGTGCACGCACACACACAGAAATATATAGATATCTACTTTCATAACACATATATGGGCACATTGTTTTTCTTCTTCAGCTCTTAAGTTCATAGGTACATGTACAGGATGTGCAGGTTTGTTATGTAGGTAAATGTGTGCTGTGGTGGTTTGCTATACAGATCATCCCATCACCTAGTTATTAAGCCCAGAATCCTTTAGCTATTTTTCCTGATGCTCTCCCTCCCCCTGCACCACCCTGCAATAGGGCCTGGTGTGTGCTGTTTCTCCCAGTATGTCCATGTGTTCTCATTCAGCTCCCACTTATAGGTGAAAACATGAGATGTTTGGTTTTCTGTTTCTGCATTAGTTTGCTGAGGATAATGGCTTCCAGCTCCATCCATGTCCTTGCAAAGGACATGATCTCATTCCTTTTGGACACTTTTAAAGTAGCTTAGTTTAATTTTTTCCTTAACTTCTATATGAGATGTTCTGTGGTTTTTCTGAACACTCAGACTTTGCAGACTTCTATTGAAACAGAAGATTTAGTATTAATTCACCTTTTATTTGGCAATATCTTCTTAGTAACCTGTCTTCTGTTGCTTTAGGTACAGTCATTGAAAATGTTTTTTGCTAGGTTACATAGTTAAGTGGTTTCAGGATATGTAGACAAGTGCTTATTCTCTGGGAATACATGTACATGCAAAGCATAATTATTTTCTAGCATCAAAATTATGGCTTCATGAATTTTTAAGACTTTTAAACATCTTTTTACCATGCTATGTTTGTTCTCTTTTATTTTATTCCATTAGTTTCCTTGTAGCAATTATTAATAAGCTCCTAGAAAGAGAAGATGTATTCTTAGAATGCAGCAAGGAAAAACAGGCGTGGAAGTCATTCTTCCTCTTCCCAGCTAGTCTTCGAATGGAGCAGAAAGAACTCTGAAACTCTGATAGTGGATTTGGTGTGCATAGCTTTAAAACGTAAAAAGAAGCAGGTTGGGCTCATAAGTGTCTTTCCACAGTGGCTGAACTAATTGACATTCCCACCACCAGAGAATAAGTGTTCCCTTTTCTCTGCAAACTCACCAGCATGTGTTATTTTTTGACTTTTTAATAATAGCCATTCTGACTGGTGTGAGATAGTATCATTATTATGGTTTTGATTTATATTTTCCTAATGATTAATGACATTGAGCATTTTTCATATGCTTGCTTATTGGCTGCATGTATATCTTTTGAGAAGTGTCGGTTCATGTCCTTTGCCCACTTTGGGGGTTGTTTGGTTTCTGCTTGTTGATTTGTTTATGTTCCTTATAGATGTTGGATATTAGACCTTTGTGAGATGGATAGATTGCAAATATTTTTTCCCATTCTGTAGGTTGTGTGTTTACTCTGATGAAAGTTTCTTTTGCTGTGAAGAAGCTGTTTAATTTAATTAGGTCTCAATTGTCAATTTTTGGTTTTGTTGTAATTGCTTTTAGAGTCTTTATCATGAAGTCTTTGCCAAGGCCAATGTCCAGAATGGTATTTCTTAGGCTTTCTTTTAGGGTTTTTATAGTTTTATGTTTTACATTTTAGTCTTTAATTAACCCTGAGTTGATTTTTGTATATGGTGAAAGGTAGGGGTCATGTTTCAGTCTTCTGCGTATGGCTAGCCAGTTATCACAGCACCATTTATAGAATAGGGAGTCCTTTCTTCACTGTTTGTTACTGTTGGCCTGGCCACCATTTTTCTTCTGTGCATGAAGGAGACCCACAGGCAGCAAATAGAACATCATCAAAACATGAAACGGAATGAAAAAAGAGTCTCCATGCAAATGGAACTAAACATCTACCCAGTCAGGTAGAGATGTCCATTTGTAGGTGGCAGGTTTTAGCAAACTCTAGAGCAGAATTTGGATAGAAAATGTTGAGGAAGACAGCACCATTGCAAGCACATTTAAGTCTTCTTGGTATATAAGGAAGGCCACTATTAAAAGTTTAGAGGCACAAAGGATAAAATAGGGGTTAAATCCCTAAATTTGGCTTATGATGGTTCACATCTCAGAGTTAGGGAGAAGGTGCAGGTAATCTGTGAGGGTTATCAGAGCAGAACCAAAGTAGCTCTAGGTGGAATTGAAAGTGAGTTTTAGATATTTTCACATTCTCACACACGGTGATATTTCTTAGTTGTAAAATTTTAAGTTAACCTAGGAGCTAAGGATGAATGTAAACTTGAAATTCGGGAAACAATTTATCTTGATGAACATATGAGTCATTTCTTAAGACTTAATAGATGTTGGTTTTTCTCATTACACTTACAAACCTTTAATTCCATATGGGAGATTTTCCGCTGTGGAGTGTCCTGTCCACATCCTCCCCAGCTCTTCCTTCATTAAGCTGACTCAGAGGAAGGTCCTCCTCTGTTTTGCTCCTCTCTGCTCTCACGAAATTTTTTGCTCTATGCGAGTTTTTAATGCTATTTGACCACTTTCTAAAGTATTCTTACTGAAGCTGGCATATTAATAGGTGCTAAACAAAAAACATTTTCCATCAAATACACTTGGGGATTTGCAGGTTAATGATAGTTCCTTGCTGCATTTTGTTTAAGAAACTTTAGTTTGCTATTGTCATCGTGAATCTCTAAAATAGAGTACTGACCATTTTCAACTCTCATTCTCAGGCCAGAGGTCACATTTTGTGGGGGTAATATCTGAGACACCATTGTTCTCTAGAACATGCATTAAGAAATGTTCCATATTGTAAGCATGTCTTACTTATTTTTCTTTTCCCCAAACTGAATACAAGAACTTAATTACAGAACAACTTAGTATTTTTGATTGAATTATTGAAAAGTAATTCATAGTGAAAGAGGCTACCTGAGAGGGTCGTTGGGGACAAAAAAATATTAACACTTTAATTTGAAAAATAAATATTTACATATATGGTGTAGTTACCTTCACTTTCTGTAATTTATGGACTCAATGAACATTCATTAAGCCCTTCATAAGTTCCATGTATCTAGATCAACCCTGACCTTTAAAGATAAATAAGATAAAGCATCTGTTTCTGAGGGACAATTGCAAAGAACAGCTTATTGCTTTCTAAAAAGGATATTTTCTTGCGAAAAATTAATAAATAACAAAAATTTTATTTGTTTAGACGTAAATTTTTTTTAGTTTGCAAAATCGAGTCTCTCAATCTCATATCTTTATGAAGAGTAAGAAAGTTTTAAGTACATCAATTCTCGTGTTGATGATTGTTATATCACTTTATCTTTCTGTGAAGTGAATTAAAATCAAGAGAAGACTTTTTCTGCATTGATCTGATATGTACTGCTGATTCCACAGAAAGTATTTAGCTCTAAGTTCTTTGCTCTTATATGGAATGATTTATAAATTTATTTCAACTCCTATTTTTAATTATTGATAGAATCTATATGAATGGGAATAGTCTTCAATTTTAAATGCAGCAAATGATTACTTTGTTTCAGTTTGTTATGTTTTAAACACATATATAGATGACTTGGTTGCATATTAGATGAATTGGATCCATGCCCTTCTGCTAGGGAAAATTGAAAGAAAATAAGTTTGCTATATAATGATATTATTTATGTGTTTATTTTGCAAGTGTTTATTGAGTAATTAATATGACCAGGTACTGCAGAAAAATTCACAGTTAAAAAATATATGACTTTCAAGCACATCACATTTTATTGGGAGGTAGCAACCAGTAAAATAAAATGACATTACTTTACAATACAAAGCCACAAAGGAGGTGTGGGCAGAGTGTAGCAGAAGCACAAAGGAGGAATAATGAAGACTTTGTAAGGAGAAGAAACTTCATAGAATTGTTAGCATTTAGTATTTTTAAAGATATGGAAACTTGCTATGCGGTCTGTGTTGGTCTTGAACTTCTGGCCTCAAGTAATCCTCCTGCCTCAGCTGTTAGAATTGTTGGGATTACAGGTGTGAGCTACTTTGCTAGCTTAGTTTTTAAATTAAAGTAGAAATTTTCAGTGGCAAAGAAGTATATGAAAAAGTGCTTAAAATTATTGAGCTTCAGAAAAATGCAAATCAAAACTACAATGAGATGTCATCTTACCCCAGTTAAAATGGCTTTTATCCGATAATACAGGCAATAACAAATGCTGGTGAGAATGTAGAGAGAATGGAACTCTTGTAAACTGTTGGTGGGAGTATAAATTAGTACAACCACTATGGAGAACAGTTTCCTTAAAAAACTAAAAATGGAACATACAATCCAGCAATCTCACTGTGAGGTATATGTACAAAAAAAGGAAATCAGGGCCAGGCACAGTGGCTCATGCCTGTAATCCCAGCACTTTGGGAGGCTGAGGTGGATGAATTGTGAGGTCAGGAGTTTGAGACCAACCTGGTCAACATGGTGAAACCCTTTATCTACTAAAAATACAAAAAAATTAGCCAACCTCATGGTACATGCCTGTAGTTCCAGCTACTCGGGAGGCTGAGACAGGAGAATGACTTGAACCCAGGAGGTGGAAGTTGCAGTGAGACCAGGTCACACCATTGCATTCTGGTCTGGGTGACAAGACTCTGTCTCAGAAAAAAAAAAAAGGAAATAAATATATTGGAGTGATATTTGCACTCCCACGTATATTGCAGCAGTATTCACTATAGCCAAGGATTTTAAGCAATCTCACTGTCCATCAACAAATGCATGGATAAAGAAAATGTGGAAAATATGCACAATGGAGCACTATTCAGCCATAAAGAAGAATGAGGTCCTGTCATTTGCAACAATATGTATGGAACTAGAGGTCATTATGTTAAGTGAAATAAGCCCAGAACAGAAAGACAAACTTCACATGTTCTCATTTATTTATGGGAGATAAAAATTAAAACAGTTGAGCTCATGGATATAGAGAGCAGAATGATAATTATCAGAAGCTGGGAAGAGTAGGTAGGGGGAACTGGTGGGGCGAAGTGAGGATGGTTAATGGATACAAAAGTAGAATGAATAAGATCTAGTATTTGATAGCACAATAGGGCGACTACAGTCAATAGTAATTTATTCTATATTTAAAAATAGCTAGAAGAGTATAATTGGATTGTTTGTGACCTAAAGAAAAGATAAATGCTTGAGGTAATGGATACCCCATTTACCCTGATGTGATTATTGCACATCACATTCCCTTATCAAAATATCACATGTACCCCATAAATATATACACCTATTCTGCACCTACAAAAATTTTTAACAAAAGTAGAAATATTCCTGAAAAAGAAAGGCATTTTAAACAGTGAGACTGGAATATGACGAAAGCCTGAGTTACATGGCAGGGAAAACTATTCTGAGATTAAAGAGGCATGTCAAAAACTGATTGTGAAAACCCATATGTAGCATGATAATGCATTCTGGACAGAGTAAAAAGAAGTCAAAGAATGAAGATATGGAGATCATGTTTATATTTAGAAAGATCTTCTGATGGTTGGGTAGCAATATTGTTACCATAGTAAGAGATAGTAGAGATTTATGTCAAGGCAATGAAAGTGAAAAGGAAAGAATAAAAAAATATTGAGATAGCACTTGAAGGGTTGATTGAGTGTGATGGTTGTGGAAAAGATAGGAATAAAAGAAAACTAATGCATTTCTACTTTGGGAAAAGGTGATAACATAAACCCATATGATAAATGCAGAAATGGGAAGAAGGAAAAGATTTTTTTTTTCCTTGTGACTTCATTAATTGGTTTTGAAGGTGGTAGGATGAATAAATTTGATGTTGTCCAAGTATATGAGTTAACCAGAATGATTAAGAGCAAAGCAACAAAGTGTGGAAAACATGGTCAGAATTTAAGATGTGTGTAGAGAAATAGGAATCAAAGAAGGAACTGAAACATGAATAGTTGCAGAAGTAGGAAAAAGAAGACAATAATCTTCCAGGAGCCAAAAAAAGGAGAAGGTTTCAGAGATAACAGGAAGATGTAGTAGCAGATATTGAATAGTGTGAAGTCTGAAAATACATCATTGTTTTTAGTCAAGTGATCATTGGGGATATTTGTGGGGCAATTTCAGTGAACTGGAGGGAATGAAAGATAAAATGGGATGGGGCATAAATGGAT